TTACTTTACACACTTTATTTTAAAATTTCTTATTGGAACAAATAAGCCCACGCAAATTGCTTAAACTGATCGCACTTTACACTTGACACTCTCTTCACTAATTGATTTAATTCTGCCCTCGACCATATAAAACGCATAAGCGAAAAACAAGGCAAGACATTAACATTGCTTATTATCAAAAGTGCTCTCTTCTGTAAACAACAGCAGTTAACTTTCAATTTAAAGAGAAGATAACTTATTTTTTAGGTTTACAGGTGCATTAATGGTTCTAATTTTTAGTGCGCTTTTTCCTGTGCAAAGCAAGTGCGTTGAAATAAGTCATATTTTACATTTTTTAGTAGGCAAATAACATAACATATTAAAATTAACATTGTAATAATTAATTCATGTTATATAGTTAATATTGATAAAAGTGTACAGTGCCAACATAGCATCACAATGGCATCCATATATTATTGATGCTTTAAGCACCTTTAACACTATTAGGCTTTAGGCTGTATTTCACCTCAATATTTTGTAAAAATTTTATGTGTTTTTTATATATAAATTCTTTGTACTTCTTTTTTATATAATATGTAATATTAATTTAATTATCATTTTAAAATAAATATAATAATATAATATATATAAACATGTATTCTTTACAAATATAAATGATTTTATTTAAGCTTTTGATTCTTTAGTGATACTTTTGGATGCTTTGTGTTAGCGATAACGATATTCATACAAAATTATATTAACTCCCCAGACCTTCATTTATTATACATCAAAAAAGCATCACAGTAATAATGCATTGAAGTACTTGTAGGTATTAATAAGGCATCTATAGTTTTCCTATAATATGTAGTGCACAAAAATGCATTTACTTGATGTGGTAGTGACATCTATGATTGCTTCCAAAATATCAATGTATCATCGCTCCTGCATCGATTATTTCGCCTATTAGGGTTTTATAGACTTTTTGTATTTTTTGTATCATCGCTGATGCATCGATTCTTTCGCTTGCTGATTTTTTATAGACCTTTTTGTATTTTTACTATATACACAATTCTATATTTTAAAATTGAGTTCTAAGCAATTAAATACGTAAATATTATTTTATATTTCACCAACTGTAAGAAACTTATTTTATTAATAATTGAAATAATTAATAAAATAACATATAACAGACAACCTATACCTATATCATAACAAAATACTTTTATTAAAAGTTTTTATTATATGTCTAACTAGTCTTATACATCCTTAAAAACTTGATAAAATGAAGTGCTTATAATCACTTTCAAAAAAAGTGAATTCACTAATATTTTCAAAAAAAAAATACACTTTCTGCTAAGATGTAGAGGTTTGGAAAACCATTTAAAGAAAAATGTTAAATATCTCGGAATTATATTAGACATGAAACTTACCTTGCAATTCAATACGTATTAATAATGAAGTAAACAATTGCTTTGAATATTTATAAAAAAGTATGATCAACACTATGGGAAGATTAGCTTCACAAATTATGTACTGGACTTAAAATGTCGTAGATAGGTCTATAAAAATAAATGAAGTACTTAAGTCACAACTGAAAAAAAAAATTTACATGGAACTCAAATACTTTACCATATCTAATATTAGTATAGTGGATACACGTCTTCAGTGTAGAAGTCTGGGCCCCACAATCTATTTTTTATTTATTATTAATTTCTTTTTCAATTTTAACTGTATTACTTATTTTTTTACTGAAGACTAACTCAAATACTTTACCATATCTAATATTAGTATAATGGACACACGTCTTTAATGTAGAAGTCTGGGCCCCACAATCTATTTTTTATTTATTATTTATTTCTTTTTCAATTTTAACTGTATTGCTTGTTTTTTTACTGAAGACTAACCAATCTCTGTACTTATCACAATAATCGCTGTATTTATTGCGACGCTTTCAAAAATATTTTTGAATATTTCAAATTTATAGAAAATTTACTAGACTGGGTTTCTAGTAAGCGAAAATAAAGTTCTTCACGTTATATATTCTGTACCAAGGAACAAATATTCTGGTATTTATAATAACATCCATTACTGCACACAGGATCCTTTATCTAGAGTTAGAATTAAATAGATATAATTTCTCGTTATGAACCCCTCATATCCTGCAACTTACCAACGTATCTTTATCAAATATTTTAAAGCAGCTCAAAACCAACAATTTAATTATAATTCTTACAATGTAATTTATTTAAAATATTTAATCAAACATTGCCACTGTTATGCAACAATCAATTTGTTGCTTTGACTCCAACATCCAAGATACGAGGAAAAAAAATATTTCCAAATAAGAAATTAAGACTTTTTCGAAATCATTCGCATTCAACAAAGAAACTCGATACCAAATTGTAAATCACAAGATTGGATTAAGACGTTTTTGTGTGTAATGATTTCTTCTTATTTTTATTTTTATTTAATTTTAGCAATTTAATCTCGTGAAGCTGGAAGCGAACGGCAATTTCATCCAATATGCGACACAAGATCCGTACAACAACGGCAATAATCGAACAATGATAATAACAACAGAATTGATGTCTTAAAGTTGTCACAACACCTAATGACACAACTCGGATTACACCCACACACCATACAGTGTAGCACACACCACAATCCCAATAAGATATTCGGAGATACTATGGCCTGTTAAGGTTGTGGTGCATTTCAACGGAGTGCTCGTTTCATTCCACAGTTAAGTCTTATGTGGCCATTTAATGGCTACATTAGGAATTTACACAGGTCATAATTTCAAAAAAAAAAAGAAATAATAATAATATAAAACACTTTTAATAAAATATATTTCCTTGCAAAGAGCAGGTAAATCTTTTAATAGCATTCTTCACATTATCTATATCGGACTTTATTTCATTTTAAAGTACTAGTGTTTTAAAAATATAATTTATGTGATTTGAAGAAGTCAATGTTTTCTTAAGTATTTGATGACTCATCATATAATATTTAAACTTGCCAATTTTCCAACATTTCTGGTAGTTTCTAATATCAATGACCTTACTACCATCTACTAAGCCAAAAATATAGTAAACACAGGAAATCCTTAACATATACAAAAATGATTTTTAAAAGTATACTACAATATTTGGAATGATGATAATAGTAACGATATCAAATATAAACGTAAGAAGATGTAAAACTAGGACAACGTAAGTATAGAAGTGATATTATAAGGTAATGATACACAGTTGTGGCAGAAGAGCACGAGCACCCATATATATAAATTAAAAATGAATTGATGGAAGTATATGTTAATTTCTCTCTGTTTACTTTGTTTCCATTTCCTTTAATAAAGCATAAAGCGACAATATGACATTATAATATATTAAAATACTACCCTTACGTCCATATGCTTATATAGTGAAAACAGAAATCAATTTTTATTAAAAAATTGTGAAGAAATACAAACAGACAGAACATCAATAAAAACTTGGATTGGATTGATTGGATTAATCTTTTCTTACACTTAGAAAAACAATTTGGTTGATTTAATCTCATTTTAACTAAATCACAGGTTAAAATATTCCTACTCGACGCATAATGTTGCCATATGAGCTAAAACTTCTCTAACGAAATGATCATGCCAATTTAACTAGTATGTGGTTAGAGCATATTTTTCTAAGTTTGGGTAAGACTTTTGAAAATCCTTTTTAAGCAGCGTTGCCTTGGAATCCTCAAAACCTCATCGTGTATTTCGTCCAACCGAACGTGGAAAGAAGACCGCTGTTACTGAAATTGGATAATGAAATACAGAATTACAATTAATATGCAACATGCAACAGATCAAGTATGTTTTGCCAATAACTTAATTTTGTTAAGTTTTGATATTTTTATATGAATTACTATAAGTCTTCCTCAATATTAAGTGGGTTCATTATGACCTATTGTGACATTTCCTGTGAATTAGCATCTGCACTAATCTTTAGCCAATAACTTCATTTTACAGAAATAATTATCAATAAAAAGAGTAATTAAATGGTGTATTGAGATGTGATATATATTAATATAAGTCTTCCTCAAATATTAAGATAAGCTCTATGCGCCATTGGGACCTATCGGGCATTGCCCGTAGATTAGCATCAGCACTAGTTTCAAATCACAATTAAAATCACAAATGTACCTGTTTTTACACCCAAATTTTTACATATACACATAACAACCTATCAGCCATATGATATTGTTTATATCAAATATCATATGTATATATGATAACTTCTTTTATAATACAGAAATTAAAACTTTTATTAAAATATTTTGCGTATGCATATCTTAAATTACCTACCGATGTCCGTTATCTACATACGCCTATTGTTATTTATTATTTACGACCACCACTTGCTTTTATCATAATTATTTTCAAACTACATATTAAATTATCATTAGCGTCATAAAGGTGACAATAAATTAGTCGAAATACCAGACCACCCTCGTTGAAATTAATTAGAAAAAAATTAACATCAATTTTTGGATTCCCGAAAGAAAAAGCCGGACAAATATTTAAGTTTAAATTTATTTCAAAATTTATTCAAATTTATTAGTTTTTATTTGCAATTATTTAATTTAACATTTTGAGTTTATTTAAATATTATTATTAAATATTTTTTTTATAATTACTTTTTATGTACATAGCAAACATTTTAGATTCATATCTATTAAAAACTCCCGAAAAGAGAGTTCGGATCACATAACCGAAAATGTGAGTTAGGTTTGGTTACTTATACAAACTAGGACTAGAAACTTTATTCACTTATATATATATATTTACCAAATGTTGTATTATAAGTGTTACGTATATATATATAATTTTGTTTTAAATATGTATGAAATTTGAAATTATAGACTCACTTAAATATTTAATATTGCTTCCTATTACATTTTAATGTCTTCATTAATTTAAAAACATATTTGTACAACAAAAATTGTTAGTCTTTCTTATTCATCTTTATGTTTTTCTTTCCTTGTTTTTCTTCTTCCTCTCTTTCCTTCCTCTAATCCTATTGTATACGATTTTCATTTCAAAATAATACTTTCACTGTAAAGATGAAAATGTTTTACTTCCTACCGGTGAAAGTACTACGTGGAAACCGTAGTACCGACCGAAGAGTTACTTAGCGCATTTTCACGTTCTTGTAGTTCCTGCAATTCTTCTTCTTCCCTCGTCAATGGTACAGTTGAATGATTATAGAGACCCTGAGCCATTAGTTGAAGTGCAAGTGGATTTTTTGTGCCACTGGACTTTTTTAATTTGGCACGTTTATTCTGAAACCAAATTTTGATTTGTGCTTCGTTCAAGCCAAGTTCTGAGCTGAGCTGCTGGCGACGTTTCTCTGTCAGGTAACGATTCTCATTAAATTCGTGCTATTTTATAAAAAAAAAGTAAAAGATTAAGAAAAGGAGGTTTAATTAAAATGGCTTCTTATAGATTGTATTGTTATAATAAAAAATATTGAAAAACGATATTTGGCTAGACTCAAAAAATTACGATATTTAAATCAAAAAAATTAGTAATCACGATAATCACTACCATTCTTCAATCTCTATGAAAAAACGGTAATATTTCGACGAATTGATTAAAACCAAAAAAAGGGATGAGATATATATTATCTCATTATCAGTGACGAGATATATATTCTTAACTATACGTGAGTCTCAGAATTGATTATAAGTAATGCATCTGAAATATATTTGGTGTATTTCAATTCGTAGATAAACAAAATATCGATAAGCCAAGTTAGTGTTATTACACAATTAATGCTGTTTAATAACACACTATTGCTTTTTTATGTAAACAAATGAAATTTTGTATTTTATCTATATAAATACAACTTGTACCTTATGAGTAGTGAAAATCAATTGACCATATAATTTATTAATAATGTATGACTAGTACTATTCTATTGTTGGCGCGGTGTTTTTACACGTATGTTTAAGCTCTTTAGTTATAATAATATTCAAATAACCAACTTAGCTTATGTTATAAACGCAAGTTCTAACTAATTGAAATGAAAGTTGCACAGCAAAAAAATTTTAAAGTGCCTTAGGCCACTTTCATAGTATATTGGTGCCGTCATGAAGGGGATTAAATAATTTATGTCAAATCTCTAGAGACTATTGAATAGACTTATTTTCAGAAAAATGGTGAAATATTTTAATAGATGTAGTAAAAAGAAATCCATTATTTTCTGAATAGATGGCTTAAGTTATCTATATTCTGCGTTGTAACCGATCGGGTAACACTAGATGGCGTTTTGAACACCAGCCAAAACGTGAAGTCTTTTCTCACTTCATCAAATTTTGGGCAATATTCCTTTCGGTATTGATATTAGATTTCTGGTAAGACAGTTTTGCCTTTAAGACCTGCGATTTATTGTGAAATATGTCTAATAAAGAATTTTTTTTTCTTTTTTTATAGTTATAATTTAGAGAAGTATTTTCAGGACTTTATGCTGAGATACCCTCTTGCAATTTTAAAACAGTAAATTAAATTAAATATATTTATTAGAAAATCAACTCATTATATAGTCCTAACATTCTACAAACTATATATGTAGTTATTAATAAGACATCATTAGAAAGTACTTCTAATATATAGACATATTAAACAGAACCAATCCTTATACTGATCTCACACTAGAGTTTTTATTATAATTTTAGCTGTCAAAAATGTTAAACTGACTTTTGAACCGACATATCATTTATCAGATATGTCAGATTTACCATATGAACACACTGTTTAACTAGTTCTACAAAATATTTACTTCACACATATAATACAGGGTGCCTGACGAAACTTGCAACAAACTTCGCACCGATCTAGCTGTCAAACCAATAATGACAGGAAACTCACAGTCAACTCATTTGACAGGTCATTGTCTTGTTTACAAGCGTATGAAGGCATTTTAATTTTTATGTTGTAGAAAAGAAGTTGTATGGGATGAAGTTCAAACCTGAAAGTACGATTGATTTATATTTGACTGGTTATCATTCGAGCCCTTCACCACCTAAATCAGAACAAATCATTTATGTCTCGTACTATAGCTCGATACGCTATCACCATAGCTACCGTATCCTGGTAACGTTTCCCGATGCCTAGGAAGTGGCCCAAACACAACAGTAACAACATTAAAAATGATTCGTAAAGTGAAGAAGCGAGTTTAGTGAAACCCTCGCAGTTGCAATCAAATGGCAAAGGAGCTGAATGTATCTCGAGAATGCAACACACTTTGAAAAATGAGCTCGGACTGAATTGCTATTGATGTTAAAAAAAGTGCATGATCTCACCGACGAACAAAAAGAAATTAGAGTCGAAAGGGCCCAAGTGCTGGTTCGTTTGGCCGAAGGTGGTGGGGTGGTGGCTTGCCGAATTTCGTTTTTTCTACTAAGTCACCATTCGTAATACAGTTCCATGCTTTATTCCATCAAGACAGTGGCCACCATGACCACCTGATATAAACCCTTTCGATTTCTCGTTCTGAGGTATTCTAAAAAGTAAGGTTGGTACTATAAAACACCAAAATGTCGATCGTCTAAAGCAAGTACTAAGCCGAAAATGAGCCAAAACCACTTGCGGATAATTTGGGTTAGCTTCATTAGCCGCTTGAAGGCCATAATTTATGCTAGAGGTGGCCATATTGAACCAAAATAAATTAACTTAAAAATGTAAAGTTCTTTTTTCACATTTTCATTTATCTTTCATTAAATTTAACAAAAATAAACAAAATAGAACGTTTGTTGCAATTTTCGTTAACCACCCTGTATATGCATATGATAAATACTTTGCTTTAAATACTTTACTTGATAAATAACAGCTTTATTTCATTTTATATGAAAATTTCATTGATTTTTCAAAACTATTCACAATAAAAAAACTATAGCGGTTTAAACCTTCTTTGCTATCACTTTATGTATTTTAAAATTCATTTCATTATTTATTTCATTCAATATACCAATTTTAAATTGTAATTGCAACTATAACTCACCTTTAGTCGCGCCAATTGCGATCCACTAAATGCGGTACGTGGTCGTTTATCTTCAGTTTGTGTCGGCGATGAACCTTTTTCACTTGCAGGTTTCTTAGGTTTACGCGTACGTGGACCTGTGAAAAAAATAAGAGAAAAACAGACACAAAATTAAATTAAATTCACACCCTGAGCAGGAGAAACGAGATAAACATAAAAATTCCATTCGAGGAATAAAATATACGTAATTGCGCCACAATGACTGGACGCATTCGAGTATTCTCGCAATTGAACTCTATTCATTCGGACTTTCGGTGCTGCCACACCGCATGCATAAATACTTCGTGTAACGAAAATTAACGCGCTCTCAAGATTTATGAGTAGCGAGAAGTACACACGAATTGCACATAAAAATAGTTCAACACATTTACGCATAAAGTGCGAACCAATCGACCGACCCGCCCCCTTCTTCACCCACTAGACTACGCCGTACAACAACAAACGATTTGCATTAAAACAAATGTGCGCACAATTAATTCAAATGTTAAGAAGTCAACTTCCGTTTCCGTCATTTTCGAATCATTCGTTTTGCGAAAATAATTAAAGTTTGAAAATTTCCCTCGTCATTGTTCGAAGTAATCAACACGATGACGTTGTACTGTAGCTAATTTCAATTTTAATTTTCTAAAAATAAACGGCACTAGACAAGAATACAACATCAAATATATAATTACAATATGAACACATACTATATATCTATACATATATATATATGCTTGTGATATTGTAGGTATCTACGCATAGACATTGCTATATAAAAAATCAAGGCATTAGTAATCTATCTGTTGGTTTCTGTTGGTTACTGGTTGAGGGTTGCAGAAGGACTATGAGCAACTATGGAAAAAGATGTTTTTGTTTAATTAACAGTTTAAAATAGACAAGCGTAGATAAAGCGTTCCCGAAAAAGGGTACTCCATATAGGACGGAGTGGTTGTCACATTAAAATGTCTTCCCAAAACCAACAATAGCGCATAAAATAGCTTTAACCAAGTGATTAAATTTTATTACAGGCTAAAGGATTTCTGAAGTCATCAAACCGAAGCAACTCTACAGTCTTGAGTTGCTTTTCAGTTATCAAATCTGAGTTGAAACTTTGCTTAGCTGTGCTCTCTATGTAACAGTTTGGGCCGGAGTTAGTCATACTTTTGATTACCAAACTAAGGACATTTACGGAAATGTATAAATTGTTTGTTTATTGAAATTCTTGTTTGCGAAATAAAGCAATTATGGCTTACTAATGAGAATTTCTGGTTAAACGCAGTGAATTCTAAAATTGCCAAACTAAAATTTTGCTGCATTCACAGCAACTTGTGACCAACAGAAAAGGGTTCCGGCATCATTAGTGTATTGAAAATGCGAATATCTTCAATTTGAAATAGTGCTTGATGACCACAACTAAAGAAAAATTACTTGTTTCAAAATTCTTTGAAGAAAATAAGTTTCTTTTGCGTAAGGCAGCAGTTCGAAGTCATAAATAACAAAATTACAAAATATAAATTAAAATAAGTTAAAGTACACAGTGAAATAATTATTAATATTAATTCAAGAGGTTCCATGTTCCATGTTTTTCCCTAAAACCAAACTGGTGGGAGGGTATTAGATTTTTATCGTCAAGAAATGGTTTCTACTTTAAAAGCAGTCCTCTTTCAAAGAGTTTAGAAAGATATAGCAATAAGCTTATTGACCTATATCTAAAGGCAAGCCTAAGAACTGTCATAATAACTTTCTAAAAAAACAACAACATGTCAGGCTGACGTATATCTTAAGAAAACCTAGTGATAAAATCTGTTATGCGTCATGAGAATGGAACCCCCAAGACAGAAAACGATATGGGAGATCTGAGAGACTGAGCAATACACAATCTATTAAGATAATTAGAAGTAGCAAAGAGCGAAGTCTCCACTTTGACAGTATATATTTCTGGTGGTATTTAAAGTTGAAACCAAACCAAGTATTTTCTAGAAATATGTCAAAATTTCATTTTTTGCTCTGTAATTATTTTTTTATCAATAATTTTAATTCTAAACAATTAATTGATGTTCTAAGTAAAACTAAATTAGTTCCGCAAATACAATTTTTAGATACCATTAAACACCTTATGCAATTTAAAGTGTTGATAAGCTAACCGAAAATATTTCGATAAGGACAATAAATAGATAATTTCACCATCAAGTTTACATGAACTAGTTTTAATCAGTTCTAGTATTCTAATAAATTTTAAAGATTTTAAAAGATAAATATTTAAATTTACAAGTTCTATACAAAAAAAATGATATATAACGACTTTAACGACTCAAACTTAATCGAACTCATTGTACATAATTTCTCATAGTATGTTTGATAAGAATTTTGTTTTCGGAATTTTAATTATTTTTTAATTGTCATTATTATAAACAAATTCACTTAGAATTAATATTATTTTTTTTGTGATTTGTAAAATTTATTACTATTTAATATAATAGCAAGCAATTTTTTATAATATTATTTTTAGAGAATTCTTTACAAAATAATAATTCTACATCTAATTTGGCTTTATTTATAATAAATTATGTGTAAACTTTCTATTTACTTTCAATTTACTTGAGAAAGCCAAATAACGTTCGAAAGTATCTGAATGCATTGTCACTCACTCACAACTATTGGAAAAACTATTGGAATAACTAATATAACCGTTACATGGTGTAAAGCAGGGCTGTCAAAAGCGCGGCCCGCAATTACTGTTTATGCGGCCCGCAACATGTTCCTAATCAACCACAATGACGCAAATTTTCTTTTTCTTTTGGTGTCCTTTAGTAAAATCACATTATAAGATTTTATGGTATACTAAATAAATGAGTTTCAATTAATAAAACTAAATTTAACATTATAATCGTATTTTTATTTTTTCCAGAAGAACTATGAACTATGTATTTGTTTCTGGGGCCCTCCAATCTGTACAATGATTTATATTGGCCTGCGATCACATCTGATCTGGACAGCGCTGGTGTGAAATATCAGTTCTTATACTACTTTCTTTTTGACACTAAAGATATCTTCAATGACACTTGCACAAAAATTTTTATTTTCATAATCTTTCACGATTCTTTCTCTGAGATCTATTATTATTGATGTTTTAATAAATACCTATCCTATATGTACGAGTATGCACATATGTATATTATAGGTGCATGTACATGGCCACTGGTTGCTTTTATACTTTGCAGACTTTTAAAAATGATTAAATTTGTTATATATCTGTCTATCTGTTTATCTATCTGCCAGTATTTTATATATTTTTTTATTTTATATACTAGGTATGTTCTCAACATCAATGGCTACGTAGAGTTTATATTATTTTTAATGTTTTTTAATTTTATTCAAATAATATTCTAGCTAAACGCTTTGTTTAACAGTCTAAGTGTTTCACTGTATGAAGTACAGTAAAGTCTTTTTTACATAAAATTTTAAAACTCTCTCTGATACAATATTTTGATTCACATAAAATATATATTGCTTGTTTATCCGAAAAAAATCATCTAAGCAATTGCTTTATAATTAGTACGTACGCTTCTAACAGTGCAACCAATACTCAATAAAACATTATGCTGAATTTCTATTATAGTTTAATCTTTTTAATCTCTTTTGGAATCATAACTTATAATAAACAGAAACAGAAAAATAAATTTGATATAATTATAAATAACAGAAAAAATTTGTAATGATTCCGCACTATATTAGAAACCATTTTTATGCTTAGCATTAATAAAACTACTCTCCAAAAAATACTATTAAACAAAATTTGTAAATTCGATTTACTAAAAAAAAATTTAATATACTTATATATAAGGCTCATGTTCAGTCCCTCAGCTTATTCATGACTTCAAGGTTTAATTAGAAATATAATGTGAGACCTTTTATAAGTATTAGTCCATTGGAATACAAGGAACTGAAAAACTAATATATTGGAACTGAACTGGGTGTATTGGATATCATGACAATAGTTACAGAGATATTATATTGCGAGCTAATCGATATTATTATTATTACTATTTGATATCACAAATTTGTAATCTTTTGACAAATATTTATATTTTCTTTCTCAACAGCAAAGCTTCCGCTTACTTTATTAAATTATTTTTGATAATTAATCATTAAAAGAATTTTTAAATTCACAAAATTTTACATCGTTAATTTGATTTAATTATTTTAAATTCTTTCAAAGCGTAGATGTATGCCACCTTTAGCATTTAACACTAAAGGCTTCATATCAAATACCATAGGAATTGGTATCTTTTACCAAATCGCAGACCAATGCAGTTACGTGAATCATTACCGAAAGGTATCGAATTGATATTATCACGTTCACGTATTTTTTCCGGAGAAAAACGATTAGGATCAAATTTACTAGGTTCAGGGTACACTTTGGCATCGTGATGATATGCTATTATTGCTATTAGCACTTGTGTATCGTTTTTAATAACGAACTTTGAGTTGCCGGGTACAACATAATCTCTAGCTGCTTCCCAGACTAGATGTGGACCAATAGTGTAAAGACGTAGAGTTTCTAAAATTAATTCAGATAACTTATTTAATTTGAATGTTGTTTAGAAAAACATTTTTTTCTAACTACTATACCCGACAAAACTTGGTCCTAGTAATGCATATCTTTAATGCAATCATAGGTGAATTCCTGATTATATTTAGTAAGTACTTCATTTATTTCATTTCTCAATTTATCCTGTACTACATTATTCCTTGTCAATTCATAAGCTCATTCATTCAATTCATAAGTTGTTGATGAAGTTTTAAAGCCCGCCAAGAAAAAAAACAAATGCTTGAGCAGCAACTTCTTCTATAGTCCAGTTAGTTCCTTTCCATTGTCCAATTTTATAGATTTTGTTGTCTTCAACTCAATGAGTAAGTCCATGAAGTCATTACGTTTTATATTTTTACTCTCACGTAATTCCACAGTGTCTCATACAATACGCATGTAAAAGTCATGAATGGCTTGGAATATGGTACGTATACCCATTTTTCTTGTCAACTGCGGGAAACTTTGTATGAGCGCCATTATTAGTGAATTATGTCTATTCAAGATGAAAACCTTTCTACCCACACACTACCTAAATACTCCTGATCATTTTGTTAGAAAAATTTTAGCTAATGTGGGAAAGAGAATATGAAAACTGATATGATACGTCGAGTATGAATATATTGATCTGAGATTTAGTTAAAATCTGGTTAAATTAACCAAATTATTTTTCTGAGTGTGCACCTAATTGTAGGTAACGGGAAAAATTATGGGTAATACCTTGATCTCTGAGAGTGTTTGATATGGTTTTTAATTTTTTTTTCACATTTTGTTCCATATTCTATTGGTTCATTTGCATGTCAAACTCGAAGACTGGTAATGTAATGGAATCAACATTGAAGTGATTCAATGCAACTTTTATTTTATTGTTTTTAAAGATGTCTGAGTTCTTTATCATATTATCTTAAAAACCATACTGTATAGCATTTCACGCTCCAAATATGCAGCAAATTTGATTAGTATATTGATAAGTGTTTTTTTAACAAAACAATAAATAGTAGATACGATCACGATAAAGTTTTTTTATAAAACTCAGAAACAAACGTTCAGTCGTACTAAAATTAGATACTGATATAATGTAATTTCTTGGTAAAATATTTGCCTAAAACCTATTTTAGTCCCGCTATTTACTTATATTCAAACGATATATATATCATATGTTGCATTTAAACGTCAAAAATAATTATCTTAAAAAATTAGTGCAATAATTTTTTAAATTTTAATTAAAAACTAATAAATTAAAAGTTAATTTTTAATTTATTTAATTTATTTTAAAAATTTAATTTATTTAAATTTTAACTTGAATAAATATTGTTATTCTTATGTATACTAATTTTGTATAGCAATTTACTTTAACGGCTTTAAGGTTTTTATACTCACTGTTTCCTATCAAATGTTTAAAATAACTTTTGTTGAACTTACTTCTTCCTGTAAAGAAAAATGAAAGAAAATCGATTAAAATATGTTCACAACAATCAATAAAAATAAATAAAAAATAAATTTATAAATAAAGGAACCGGGAAGAAATGATTAAATTCCTGAGCAGACAGAAACGTTGAAAAAGTTACTCCTTATAGACGTGAAAAAATTTCAAAAATAAACACAACAAATAAACTTTCACAGTCAAAACACACTTCACAAAACTCTTCCCCCTCTTCCAACTCTTTAGCTATATGTCGGCATTAACAAATTTCGCGTTGCTTCAGAGAGAGAGATAAGATATCCTGAATTTAAGGAAAACAACCTTTAAAATAAATGTACCGAAACTAATTTTACAACGCGCGATTTTCCAAGTTTAATCGTTGGAAAAATTGAACAAATCAATTTTGTCACCAAAGCACCCAAAGCACCGAAGGCACAGAAACCGTCCAAAAACAACAAATCAGCAATAAAAATCGGAACAAGCTTAAAAAACATCAATATCAACAACAACAATAAAAAAATCAAAATTAAATTAAATAAAAAACTCAACAAAACAATTGGTTTGAACACGTGTTCACACGCAGGACCTTAACGAAATAATTCACTCACCCCAACGAGGAGGCACAAAAAGAGTGTGACTGGTGTTATCTGGGTTTAAATTTCACACTCATTGTTGCTGGAGTGAGTAGCAAATCGAAAGTATTCGAGCAAATATCAAACCTTGAACCTGTCAGCAAGTTTCACTAATATTCCTTTCAAATCGAAGGTAAGATTTTTCAAACCATCATCGGGATAGGACATTTTAAAGCTTATGCCGGGTAGTGAAGATAAGGGAATTCAAAGCATATTGAGATACAGAAGCAGTACTTGGAAGTACATAAATAAATTTGTAAGAACTTAACAATTTAACAACAGCATTCCGTCACGTGTGCATGTCAGCTATTCAAAAGGGGGTGGACTGACCCTTTAAATAATTTAAATAGGAAATATAATCAGTTTTAGTTGGAAAGTTCTGATTTATTTGTGTAGATAATGTATTTAAATATCCGAAAGTATTAGCATTTGACCGTTTTTGTTCCGCTAGTTGAGATTATACATGTGTATATGTCCCAAGTATATATTTTAAAAATTGGTTTTTATAGTGAGACCATTTGCTCACGGGAAGATGTTTCACTGATGTGCTGACAAAATTTCATGACATATAAGTGCTTATGAAATCGACATAGAAATGGACATTGAACAGAAAACAAATAATAATTTTATTTTTAAATTCTCATCGAAATATATACTTAATAAACTTAATTTATGACAATGATTCTTTATTTCATGGAAACGCTTATTGGTCGTACACACGGCTTTAAAAGAGTGGTAAGACTAAGCATGTTGGCCAACTGAGAGCCATGATAACAAAAAATCTCATAAAAACTATGGATTGGATTGAACAACACAAGAACATTCACTTATCACATACTTCAATCAAACTTCCATAACCCGAAGTTCTTTAACTCGAATTTTCTATAATTCGAACTAAATAGAGTGCAACGGGGTCTAGAGAGCAAATTACATACAATTACAAAAAACTGATGTGAAAAAATGTTCAGAACTCAACATTCGGAATATAACATCCAGATGATCAAAAATAAAACTTTCTTTTTACCATTTCTTTTTAACTATGCTGAAATATGTTGTATCATAATATGCAGGGTTAGATGAAAGCGAACTCAGAGAGTTGGCGAACGATAGAGTCATATGTGATTCAAGTTCTCAAAACGAAGAAATTAGATCTAGAAAGGAGAACTAGAAACTAGAATAAGAAATATAATAAATAGAGTGGACACCAAGAAAATGCGATGAAAAGTGGTGGTCTGGACGCAGATCGAAAATCAAGAGAGCATGGCTTGAAATGTCAACATAAAAGAGACCCTCCTCGAAGTAATGCGAAAGCGGTTCCGAGGGGGAATAAGCCTCGCTGAAGAGGGGGTGTTTTAGTCCGTATACTACATATTAATGTTAGGGAGTCGGGCACACCATTCCGACGACGGTCGGTTAGACGGTGCATAAAGCATTCCACCTCCTCACCACAAAAAAAAAAAAAATAATAATAATAATATGCAGGGTTAAGCAATTGAAGTGTTACTAATATATATTTATAGTTTTGAAAAATGCAAATCAAGTTGCTACTTATTGAACGTACACAATTCCTTTTTAAAATTGTGAATACTCCGACCAATGTACACCTTCCAACAGAGTTTTTCAGTATTATTAGTACAATTATTTACTACTAAAGCAAATAAACATTGTATGAATACATAAAAAAAACTTATGTAAATTGATCATTTCATGGAATGTAAATTTAGCGAAAGGCCTACCTGTGTTGGACCAAATCTAAGCATCGAAATTATGATTCGAAACTAAAAAAAACTAAAAATATTTAAAGAAAATAAGAAAAGACAATATTTGGAAAACTGATTACAAAACTTGAAGATGTCTTAATCAACAATAATCACACAGTAGAGCATGACAAAAATGTACGACTACATTGACTTGATCCAACATGTATTGCAAATACCGAGGAGTCTTTCAAATTATCGAAAAAAAAAAATAAAAATAATTTGATTAGATGCAGTGAAAAAATCAGGTGTACAACGGCAAAGATACGAGTACATTCAAGACGTATTAAGAAATATAAATTATTGCAATTTTATGGCTCAACAATTTAAGACTCAACGGTGTGACTTTCCCATATCAGGCAATTAATGAATTGCCACTTGATTAAGAAGCAAGCTAATCGTGTTTTTCTTTATATGGCATGGTGAGCTGTAGAATAGTTGTATGTGTGAGGTCTTCCATACTTGAAATAGCAACAAATATTTAAATTGTATCATTGAAATTTATAAGTAACAAAATGAATGTAATATAAGTAGATTTAATATTATATATCAGAAATAATATAATAAAAATAATATAAAATTTCAAAATGTTCACATCAAACATGAACTGCAAATGCTTATTATTAACGATATATCAACAAAAAAATATTGTCTTCAGAGGTTGTTTTTAGGTTGGCAACACCGTTCCTAGTAGCACACAATTTGACAACTGGTTAGCATGGTTAGTACATATTGCCAATTTAACAGAATGGATATTGATGTGTTTTATAGATAAGTATTTTTACAAAGATGCACGGTACAGTCAAACAAAGCACTACAGACCCACGATTCATTAGTTTTTGGTTCCAAATTAAATAATATTACTATGCAATAAATTTGATTTTAACAAAAGGTGTAAAGTGCTGCACTGCGCTCTATAATGTAGTTATTGCAGAAATTATTCGATCCGATCATAGTTCAACATGAAGGTTTTGTGAATTTGTCTCCACGATCGGTTATCTTGGTCAGTTATTTCTTTTGGATTTTTTTACTATTGGAATATATGAAATCACTGATCTAAGTAAGTAAAACCAAAAAGCAATTGACCCCGAATACATAACTAACAAAAGGAGGATGAAAGATGAAATGTCATTTTAAATAATTTCAGATATATTTAAACTACTACTATAACGGTCATAGTATAGTGTTCATTAAGTGGACTTTAAATATATATTTATATCTAATTATATTCTATATATCCTAATTCGATTTATTTTTTTAAGTATATTATTATCATTTGTTCTATAAAATGTAATACTGATGAACATCTCTTGTTTTTATCTCTTAGATGTCAGTTAGCATACATAGTGTTTATACGCTTCTGTTCATTTATAGAATAGTATGAATACATATATATTAGTTTTATTCGAGAGAGTGTCAGCGACACACCTATGCCTGTAATCATATTCACATATTAATAGCAAATAATTTTTCAGTATAGTATTGAGTTGGAGAATTGTATAGTGTTATCTATAAATCTTTACAAATTCCGTGTTTTTTTCAAGAATTATTTTATATTATTACATAATTATTACAATTATAAATTTGTGATTTTGTCATGCTATACTTTGATGTTGTTGTACGAAGCTATTATCTTACTCTTAGATCAATCTTAAGACTGTTCATTGCATGAACTTTAGTGCATTTAAGATTTTTTTTGGATACAGATTAGTCACATTACCAATATTTCATAAGTTTTTTATTTGACTCCGTAACAAATGCTTTATTGTGGTTATCTACCGCATTATAAAATTAGTATTTTATTTAGATCGCATAAACCAATTATAGAGATCGAGTGAATTCCAGTACGTTTACAAACGATTTCAACTTTTCATTTTGTTATACCATTTGCGATCAGGTCAAACATTAAAAGTATGTGGACTGAATTTGGAAAATCTGTTTTTCGCATGGACAACTATATGTTGCATGTTACCGTGTTGGATAACCTTCTGATCTATATGTATACGCTTAAAATGGCCTAACAAAAAATATTGTTCATGAATTAGCTTTAAGTTAACATTTTAGCCCATAATAAAACTGTTAATATAATATTAAAAAAACCTTTTTTAATTTAAAATGTAGTGCTTATAAGGATTTGAAGTAAAATGAAAATATTTGTAACATAAGTAATGCATGTGGACTTTTTGTAGATCAAAAGAAAAAATCAATTCAAAATAATTTTCGCATTAAAATGCTAAAGGTTAAAGGTTAAATATTATAACTCAGCTGAGCCAGGAAAATTAATTGCAAGGGGAAACAAAGTTCGCCGGGTCAGCTAGTAATATATAATAATTAATTATAATACAATTATAATATAATATAAGTTCAAAAACATAAACCACAGAATATGTAACAGACATCTATAGATCTCTCATTTGCGTTTTTGAACTAACATTTTATAATATTTTTATTATATTTATAACCCTATGCACCTATTTTCTCTTCTATGTATATTATGTTTTTTTTACTCTTATAAGAAGCAGATTTAATAATATATATAATAAATGAAGTATGTATGAAGACAATTGATAACATCGTTGATTTGAATATTTCATTAAGTGATCATTGTTGACGTGT